ATTTTCAGAACATGATTAGATTAATAAAATAACAAAATTTTAATTTAAAAATTGTCACAATCTGTAAATATAACTTTTGACACAATACAATTTATACCATGTATATTTATTTACATTTTTGTATTTGCACTATTTGTAAACAGGAATTTTATTTTAGAAAATAAAAATTAAGCTATGTATATAGATTTTTACATCTCTTTCTCACATTCCCGAATTAAAATAAATCCGATCGATGCAGTTAAAAAACTATTTGACGTACATATATATATTCTCAATGTTTGTGATTTTATTTTAATTTATTTTATTGATTTATATAATAGAAAAAAGCATATAAAATAGTAATTAAAAGACAATTCGAGCGATATTTACTATCGATTGAAACTATAATATATACACAATATTTAAGCGCGATAAAGTTTGTCTTTACATATACGGATTCTGCAGATCGCGCGTCAGCTTTGAAGAATTGTTATGTCGACGATCGATTCACAAAGACTTTATACAAAACTTTATACTCACATTTCACCCAACTATGACTTTACCCAACTACAAAACACATTTGTAATTTCAATAAGTTCTTTATAGATTACGAAAATAGATTTTACACCAATCTATCTATTTTTCTATCATTCATAAAAAAATTGAAGATTAACTTCCCACATATATATGTACGGTATTGAATTGTGTATTTATCAAAGTTTATACTTATCAACTTCAAACTTTACTTTGGCACAATGAGCAAGTTCAAGAACGTTACTGATGCATCGTGCCGTTCAAATCTCTTATAATGCATATTTGGCAAATAGGATTTTCATTGCGTCGATTACAATTAAATCGAATGACTTGAGTCTCATGTAACTTTCAAGGGTGACAAAAAAAGCTTGCTGATAAAAAGTTGAATGAGAAGCTTTTTGGCGAGGAAATCTCGCCAATTCTGATTTTAATGAACGTGTCCAGAAAGTTCCAATCGATAAATAGCAAATGGAAAATCTTAAATTTATTCTCGTATATGTATAATCTAAAAAAATAATTATAGTACTCTAAATTATAGCTTGTGTTTCACATAGGAAATTATATATAATCATAAAAATTGCGAATAAAATTATTATAATTTAAAAATTAAAATCATATGTTGTCTATATTGTATAATAATTCACCGCGATTACGCAGTATGTAATATTCCGCATGCGGTATAATTTCAATGCAGTGATCAAGCTGTTCTGTGTTTCTCGCGAATTTCTGATTTCCGCATATATGTACATGCGCGCGTCAAGAATTGCGTCGTAATTGGACTTTAAGGCCAAGACGACAATTATCGCGCGGTTACGATTCATTAGATGAGGCCCACGCGAGATTGATTTAATACGATGACAAATGTATCCCCTGATTCTTTCGTGCGTAGGCACCATGCTCCTGTTGCTGTCAGTGTATGGAAGGAGGCAGTAGCCGAAGGCATTCTCTGATCATTACCGAGAGACTACCTTTCGACACAAGCACATCCTTTTTTCCAAGTAAACAAACCGTGGATCATGAAGAGGCCCTCCATCAGCAAGATATTTATGTGGACGTTTGGCCTGATCATTCTTTTATTTCTGCCGACGAGAACAAGTAAGCGACACAAAAATACCATAATAATCGATATACAATTGTATACAAATCATTAAAAGATCTATGCTTAAAGTAGCTTTTATTATTTGTTAATGAGAAATAGCGAACAGTAGCTACATAATACACAAAGTGTATTATGATCGGTATAGAAAGTGAATCGAGGAAGTAATAATTCTTGAATC